TGTATCAATGGTGTGGTATACTTATTTTAATTTTTCAAATTCTACAAAATGGTACACATCCATTTGCAAAATTTTATTCCTTTGGGTTATTCCCTGTAGGTAGTGGTGTTTGGTTGTATAAAGTACAAGTAGAATATTTCCTTATAAAGTCCTTGGTTTGTTACCATGTGATGGAAAAGCCTTTTTTTTAAAAAAACCATGTGATGGAAAAGCCTTTTTTTTAAAAAAAAAAAAACCCTTTGCTATTGACTTTTTTTTTAATGAAATTCAGCTCTTTCAGCACATTTCCAATCAATAATTGAGTCGATTTCTGCATTACCTTGTGCTAGCGAACCTGGCAGACCCATATGTGATTGGATATGTGTTATGTATATGGGATAATGCCTGTTGATTATATTTTACAACTGAATAATGAAGTCAATTCCATACCATCTGGTATAAATTCAGTATGCAAAAGAACTCTCTTCATATTGTGATTCTGTAGCTATATTGAGGGGTTCTTTTTTTAATTTATTTAATTATTAAAGATTTCTGTCTCTTCCCCACCACCGCCTCCCATTTCCCTCCCCCTCCCCCAATTAAGTCCCCCCCCCCCTTAGACCGAAAAGCAATCAGGGTTCCTTGTCCTGTGGGAAGTCCAAGGAACCCCCTCCTCCATCCAGGTCTAGTAAGTTGAGCATCCAAACTGCCTAGGCTCCCACAAAGCCAGTGCGTGCAGTAGGATCAAAAATCCATTGCCATTGTTCTTGAGTTCTATTGAGGGGTTCTTTAAAAGCTCTAAGTACCATGAGAGTAGCATGTAATCCTGACTTTTAGACAGAATCATAAGGGTTTTGTTCCACTTTACTTTCATTTACTGATTTGTAACCTGCCTTTCTTGATCTGTTTGCATCAGTATAGAATGTAGGGGCTTCACTTATTGGTGTGTCCCATACAATGCAAAGGAGGATCCAGCTAGTTTTCTTTTTAAATTGAATTCTCTTGTTTTTAGGATAGTTGTTGCTAATATCTCCCAAAAAATTAGTACAAACTCTCTGCCAGGGTTCACTTCCTTCCCATAATTTGTCAATTTCCTCATTATTAAAAGGTACTATAATTTCTACAGGGTCTATTCCTGCTAATTGATGAAGTCTCCATTTTCCTTTTAGAATTAAAAAAAACTTTTTAATTTTTTTCTCAGTTTATGTGGTAAAAAGATCCATTCTAAGATACTATCTTCCCTGTACATTAAAATTCTTGTAGGAGAATGTTTGGAGGATAATATGACCAGAATGCTGTTAAGCTTCAGATCCTTAGGATTGACATGTGCCTTATGTGATTTCTCTTCAATCAAAGTCAATTCTAAGCTTCAGCTGATAATTCTCTGGGACTATTTAAATCCTTGTTACCATTTAAGGTTTTGTTTAAATTAATCAGGTCATCAGGTTCTATCCCAATTGTGGGCCATAGATGGGAAAGTCTCCTAGCAAGCTTTGGAAGTCATTAAGAGTCTGCAATCTGTCTCTTCTAATTTGCACCTTTTGGGGTCTAAATTTTTTGTAAACCTATTTTACAGCCTAAATAATTAATAGAACCTCATCTGTGTATTTTTTCAGGAGTTGTTGTAATCCCCAAGAAGGCAAAATTTTCTTTACTTCTTCAAACATTTTTTCTTCCTTTTAAAAAAGGTTTATTTATTTATTATGTATACAGTATCTGTCTACATGTATCCCTGCAGGCCATAAGAGGGCACCAGATCTTATTACAGATGGTTGTGAGCCACCATGTGGTTGCTTGGAATTGAACTCAGGACCTCTGGAAGAGCAGTCAGTGCTCTTAAGCTCTGAGCCATCTCTCCAGCCCCTCAAACATTCTTTCTAAAGTATCTACACTGGAATCAAATAGTAAAATGCGTTCCATGCAATGGTAATCTACAGATTGAGGAAATTGCTTACATATTGTAGGTGGAGACTGCACTTTCATTTCCTGGCTGCTCAGACACGAATAATCACACAGAAACTATATTAATTACAATGCTGTTTGGCTGATGGCTCAGGTGTATTTCTGGCTAGCTCTTACATCTTAAATTAACCCATTTCTTTCTTTCTTTTTTTTTAGAACTCTGAAGTTTTATTCAGTGGGTCTCTGGGTCTAGAAGAAGGTGTTAGGCCTCTTGGTAGTGAAGCGAGGCTTGTGCTGGCGCCGCAGAACACGGTGGGGCAGTGGGAACTTGATCTTGGAGTCATGGAACTGCTTGACAGCCGGCCTGCAACATTTGCCGGCAGCAATCTCTTCCACCTTCATGATCTGGATGGAGTGTGCACGGGCACGATGCCGGGCACCCATGTCTCGGTAGCACTGTGTGACAGCCCCAGCAGTGGTCAGGTCGTGGTACTCGCGGTACATGTTGTGTGTCCCACTGCGGGAGTCATAGCGCAGCCAGATGCCGAAGTTCTTCACGCGCAGGGGGGACTTCTCGAATACCTGTGGGCAGGGAGGACAGTCAAGCGTGCTGCCTTGGCTCTGGGGGAGCCCAGGGACTGCCACCCTGCGGGGCCCTGGGCCGCACCTGCCCACAGTACACGATCTCCCCGGATGACTTCTTCATCTTCTTCAGCTGTGACACGAAGTACCAGAAGCGGGACTTAGCCACCACATGGTTGGGGGCGAAGATGCGCATTCGGTACAGCGGTGGTGTGTGGCACTTCGGGGTGGGCAAGCAGCGCCCCACCACCTTGTACTCCCGGAGTGTGCCCGAGGCCTTCATGGAGGTCCGTCCTCGTCCGCCGCCAGTCACAAAAGGAAGCAAATTAACCCATTTCTATTAGTCTGTGTATTGCCACATGACCATGGTGCTACCTCATTTTCTTCATGTCTTGTTTCCTTGGCTGCTGTCTGGTGTCTGCTTGACTTCACCTGCTCTCTCTCTACATCTCTGTTCGGTTTCCCACCTGGCTTTACTCTGCCAAGCCATCAACTGAAAAATCTTTATTCATCAACCAATAAAAGTAACTCATATACAGAAGGACATCCCACATCAATGTATCATTTCCAATGGCTGACTTACAAAATATTGGCACTGGGTGGGGCTATTTAACATTCCCTGTGGGAGAATCTTCCATTGCTATCTTTTAGTAGGGTGAGAATTATTATAAGTAGGCACTGTGAAGGCAATTTTTTTCTGTCTTTTTCTAGTAAAGGCTAGTGAAGAAAAGTCTTTTAAATCAATAACTATAAGAGGTTATCCTTTAGGCAATAGAGAAAGCAAAAGAATGCCAGATTGTAGAGAATCCATTGGCTGAAACACCTATTAACAGCTCTTAGATCTGCTACTATTCTTCAGTTTCCAGGTTTCTTTTTAACAAAAAATACAGAATTCCAAGGGCTGGTTGGTTCTTCAATATCCTGAGCATCTAGTTGCTCCTGAACCAGCTGTTCTAAAGCCTGTAGCTTCTCCATTGTTAAAGGTCATTGCTCCACCCATACAGGTTTGTCTGTCAACCGTTTGAAAAGTAGGGCTGTTGGTGCCCTGTTCTTATACAACCTGAATGGTCAGTGATTATTCTTTATAAAACTGTCTAATATTTTTCTCAGAAACATACATTAATCTATGTTTGTTTCTAAGATTGGGGGAATATTAATCTGAGTATTCCATTGCTGTAACAAATCACATTCCTACAAATTCATTGTTATGTTAGCCACATATGGTTTTAAATTGTATTTATTTATTATGTATACAGCATTCCTTCCAAGTATGCTTGCAGGCCAGAAGAGGTCACCAGATCTCATTATAGATGGCTGTGAGCCACCATGTGGTTGCTGGGAACTGAACTCAGGACCTCTGGAAGAGCAGTCAGCGCTCTTAACCTCTGAGCCATCTCTCCAGCCCCCACATATGGTTTTAATATTCCTGTCTGTCCATCTGGCTTTATACATTAAACTCATTTTATGCTCTGATTTACCTGAGATAAAGTTTCAATCCCAAAAAACTCAACATTTACATCCTGAAAAGACCAATTTGGATGCCAATATTCTGATGAAATTATGGTTACATCCATACCTGTGTCTACCATACCTTCAATGACATTTACTTGTATTTTCATCTCTTTTTTCTCCTCTTCTCTCCCCTTCCCCCCTCCCTCCCTTCCTCCCTCCCTCCCTCCCTCCCTCCCCCCCTCCTTCCCTCCCTCCCTCCTTTCTTTTCTTTTCTTTTCTTTTCTTTCTTCTTTCTGTTTCTCTGTGTACCCTTGGCTATTCTGGAATTTGCTCTATAGACCAGGATGGCCTTGAACTCGCCTGCCTCTATCTCCTAAGTACTGGGATTAAAAGCGTGTACCACTACCTCCTGGCTGTATTTTCTTAATTAATCATTCATAGAGGAAAGCTGAGGGCATTGTGGTTGGGACTACCCCTGGCCTGGTGGTACTGGGTCCTATAATAAAGTAAGCCGAATAAGCCAGTAAGCAGCACCCCTCCCGTGGCCTCTGCATCGGCTCACTGTCCTGTTTTTGCCTTGGCTCCCCTCCATGGATTGTGATTCTGGATATGGAAACTAAACAAACCCTTCATTTGCTTTGGTCATAGTAACCCTAACAAAGCCAGAGGAGACCTCGGAGCTGTAGTTGCCAACTGATGTGGGTTCTGAAAACTGAACGTGGTCCTCTGAAGATCAGCAAGTGCACTCAACCTCTGAGCTCTCTCTTTCTCTGGCTAACCAAGGTGGGCTGGTTGCCCTTCTAGGTCTGAGGCACAGGGACAATTATACTGGTCACTGTGTTGGTAACTGGATGGTGTACAAGAACCATCTGGTGCTGGTTAGACTAGAAGTGCCTTCTGAGCTCGCCAAGGATTAGAGCAGGGTCAAGTCAGCAGGAGCAAAAAAGGCAGTGCAGGGCAGGGACTGTGCCCGGTCAACACTTCGGCTCTTGCTGTCACTCAGGAGTACGCTGGGCCAATCAGGATCTCTAAATTCACACCGTTCAATCAAAAGCGTCGTGGGGCAGCGAGAGGCGGGTTCTGTATGGTCGCCATGCTGTGGACTGAACTCCGCGGCTGAGGGAGGCCCCGTGTGTACGCGTGCTGCGCTGTGCGTGCTGCTCCTGGGAGCTGTGAGGAAAGCGCAGGCGAACTCGGACGCTGTGACATGGTGAGCGCGGGGCTGCTGTCCCCAGACGGGAAGGAGAGGCAGCTATGGTGGCTCCTTCCCTCCGCAGAGCTCGGCCCGCTGCCGACCTCCAGCCGTAGCTGCTGCCGCTGTGCACCTCCGCCCCTCGGCTGCGTCTGCGCAGAGCACCGGGCACCGCAGGGGCGGTCCGCCTTTTGTGCCGTGACATCACTCACAAGCCTTGGATTTGGTGCTGTGTCTGGAGTTTGGTTGCTAAACTGAAGGTCCCGCGGTGCCCTGAGCTATCTTCACATTTAGATGGAGAGTCCACTTTGAGTTAATTTTGTGGAAGTTGTAAACTGTAATCTACTCAAATCTTTTGCTTATGGATGCCCAGGTTGTCGGATAATATTTAAGAAGATCATAATCTCCTCATTGTCATTTGCTCTTTTTTTTTAAAGGATGAATTATGGATACAGTGTTATGGCTGCATGAATCCCTGCAGGCCGGAAGAGGGCACCAAATCCCGTTACAGATGGTTTGTGAGCCACCATGTGGGTGCTGGGTATTGAACTCAGGACCTCTGTAAAAACAGTCTGTGTTCTTAACCTCGGAGCCATCTCTCCAGCCCTCATTTGCTTTTTTTAAAAAAAATTAACTGTAGCCAGACAGCGGTGGCTCACGTCTTTAATCTGAGCACTCAGGGAGGCAGAGGCAGGCTGATCTCTGTGAGTTCGAGACCAACCTGGTCTACAAAGTGAGCTCCAGGATAGCCAGAGATACACAGAAACCCTGTCTTGAAAAACAAAAACAAACAAACAAACAAAAAACCCAGGGCTGGAGAGATGGCTCAGCGGTTAAGAGCATTGCCTGCTCTTCCAAAGGTCCTGAGTTCAATTCCCAGCAACCACATGGTGGCTCACAACCGTCTGTAATGAGGTCTGGTGCCCTCTTATGGCCTGCAGGTATACACACAGACAGAATATTGTATACATAATAAAGTAAATAAATGTTTAAAAAAAAACCTAAAAATTGACTGTATGGTATATTTGCTTTCGTTTTTTTTTTTTTGGTCTATAATTAAAACTTTATTGAAAAACTGATACCAAAATAGGAGATCACTGTTGTATACTTTATAAAATCAAACACAGTTACATTGTCTTGGTAGAGTCACTAAACTTGATAAGGTTTTCTGTGAAAAATGCAAACTCAGGAACTTGTATAGATGTTTAGTGTTGCTTTCTTCTAAATGAACAGCCTTCTGTGAGCCTGGCTTTTCCTCCTGTGGGCTGGCACAGCGCTGTTGAACAACCTACACAAATAACCACTGTCTGAGCATGGCTGAAAACTGTAGTAATCTTGTAGCAGCCTGGACATTTCACATCCAGGAAGTAAGAATTTGGGCTCTGAACCAGCCGTTTCTTCTTATGTTTTTTCTTTTCGTCTTCCAAGGAAGGGTGTAAAAGGTCTCTAGCCAGAAGCATGGTGACGGCTCGGCCAGCACCGACGCTCCAGATCTCTGAAGTGAGGTGCTTGCTGGCGAGTGCTCAGCTACAACTTCTGGGGATCTTGTTTTTTTTGTATTATTTTGTAGATAGATTTATTTTCAAATATTCGTACACTATCATGATTATTAAGTTTTGTGTAAAGATAGTATTGTTTATGTACTGTTTCTTCAAAATTGTGTTGAACAATTTTTCTCTTTACATATAACCTTTAGAATAGCATTCACACAAAATGTTCTGCTGTTACACATATATTAGGATTCTTGTTGGGATTGCGTTAAATTTATAGTTTAATTGAGGGAATCGATATTTCTTTTTAATCTTTTGTGTGTTTTGTTGTTTTGCCTGCATGTATGTTTGTGAACCACATACATACAGTACTGTTGGAGGCTAGAAGAGGACATTAGGGCACCCATGACTGGTATTACAGATGATTGTGAGCCCTCATGTGGGTACTGGGAATTGAACTCAGGTCCTATGGAAGAGAAACAAGTGATCTTAACCCCTGAGCTGACTGTAGCTCCCAGAAAGCAACATCTTGATGTTGTCTTCTATTTACCAAGACCATTGCATAACTCATGATTTGTGGACTTACTTGAATTATCTATCTATCTATCTATCTATCTATCTATCTATCTATCTATCTATCTTAGACTAGATCTCTCTATGTAGTCCTGACTGTTCTGGAACTCACTCTGTAGACCAGGGTGGCACTGAATTAACAGATCTTCCTGCCTCTGCCTCCGGAGTGCTGGTGTTAAAGACCTATGCCACCATGCCTGGCTTAACTCTTTGTTAAATTTATTATATGTTTTTCTTTGTGTCTCCTTTGCTCTGTGGTTCTGTATATGCACTGTGAAATTGTTAACCATTCGATTGTTCATTGCTGTTATACTGGAAAATGATGGACTTCATGTATTAAGCTTGTATTTAAAAAGTTTACTGTATTAGTTCCTTGAGTTTTTGTTGGTCTAGAAATTTTATGTTTGGAAAGACCTGTATTTTATTTATTATATTTTTTAAATTTTTATTTTTGAGATCATAATACAATTCCAACATTCCTTTCCTTTCCTTCCTCCAAACCTTCTTCAATATACCCCTTTCTGCTCTCCTTCAAATTCATGGCCTCTTATTTCATTAATTGCTATTGCATGCATATAACATATATATTCTCAAATATGTACTGTTACTTGTGTGTGTGTTTTCAGGCTGACCATTTGACACTGGACAACCAATTGGTGTGCTCTTCACAGGGGAAGACCACCTTTTCCATGCCCAGGTTTCCTCGGTTATCTGTAGTTGTTTGAGTTAGCGGCTTCCTGGGCTTTTCTGATCCACTTTGGCATGCCCATTGGTGGTGTCTTTGTTCACCTTATGTTTCGGTGTTCGTGTTGGTGAGACTAAAGTCTCATAAATGAGCATAGCTTCTGATATTATTAGGAGACAGCCTCATAACAAACTCCCTCTGTGTGTTAGAATCTTTCCACCCAAGACTTTTATTTTTTCATTCATTCATTCATTCATCCATTCATTCACTCATTCTTCTGTTTTTCAAGATAATGTTTCTCTGTGTTGCCCTGACTGTCCCGGAATTCGCTCTGTAGACCAAGCTTGTCTACAGATCTGCCTGTTTCTGCCTCCTGAGTGATGGGATTAAAGGTCTGTGCCACCACTGTCTGGCTGCTCTTACATTTGTGTGTGTGTGTTTTCAAGATAGGGTTTCTCTGTGGCTTTGAAGTCTGTTCTGGAATTAGCTCTTGTAGACCAGCTGACCTGGAACTCACAGAGATTTGTCTGCCTCTGCCTCCTCGAGTGCTGGGATTAAAGGTGTGCGCCACCACCACCCGGCTTTAACGCTTACATTTAAATAACCCACATTTCTTATCTACACTCTGCTAAATGGGGCTTGATATCTTTTCTCAGTATGGGATGCTCATCTTGCTTCTACTCCTCTGACTCTGCTCTTCATTCCAGCATCCTTAGTTTGTCCTGCCTATACTTCCAGCCTGGCTACTGGCTAGTAAGTTCTTCATTAATCAATGAGAATAATACATCTTCACAGTATACAGAAGGATTATTTCACAGCACCTATCCTGTTCTTAGGCCAACTGTATCATCTTCATCTGGCATTCATGCTTTTCCTATCCTTATGAGCTTGGTATGGCTGGTCTAACTGATTGGTGTAGTTCAGGGTCAATGGAGAATGGCTGCCCTCTAGACCTGCCTGGCTGGCCCATCTGGGACTGTGCCTCTTGAGGGCTCTGATAGACACTTGGCTTGAGCTGCAGCTGGGTCTGTTTCCACGGTCTCTCCCTCAGTCATGTGTGGTTCCGTGAACCTCTGGCTACATGAGAAGTTTCCACTTTCACGCTGAGAAACATATACATATACAGCTTGCTGTGGGGCCTTTAGTTTACATCTAGGGGACCAACTTAGTTTTCTTCGTTTGCTTTATCTTGTCATTTTGGCTATCTGTGAACCATTTTTGAGGCATTGCACCCTTCCAGAAGTTCACTAGCTTAGCATTTGACTTTCTGTGCATTTTTCTTGAGGAACTCCTGTTCCACACAAATCTTGCTTTATTTACTTCAAGTGATGGGGGTAGACCCTGTTCTTTGCTTTGTCCTTCTTTCAGCTCCTCTATGTGGCCTCGCCACTTTACAGATCAAGTTAGCTCCATCTCTGAGATCCTTTAGTGCTTTTCTTGCATCGTAAGTCTCGTTCTGCTAAGGAGTTCAGCAAAGGCACTGAAGCTTCACACTGGCCTCAAGAGCTGTTCTGAATAACTTTCCTAAATCTGCAGGGAACTCAGTCCTGTCTCGCATCGAGTGGCACTTCTCTCATTCTCACTTCTTTCCTGCTCACTCTCCCCTGTGTTTTCCTCTTAACTGTCTGACTCTTCTCATGGGTTCCAAACTTGTGGGTCCCAGAAAGGGCTTTTTAGGTTTGATCTGACTTCCATGTTTTTTTCCTTATAGCTTGACAACTGTAAGAGCCAACATCTCTCTCCCATTCTCTGTCTTTTCTACTTTCTTTTCCAAATCAGAGGCTAATGCAGAGGCTAGCAAACTCATGTTCTTTCCATGGTGTAATTCCTCCTGCACAGCATGTTCAGTCCGAGCAGCCTCGGACACACTTTTTATTACACAAAGCAACAGTCAGGCAACCTCCCGGCAGCTTGCTGGTAGTCTCTCACCAGCTGCTTTGGAGACTACCAGTATTCCAGAGTCTGTGTGCTTATATGGCAGGCCCTACTCATCAAGCAAGTACGCCACTCCTGCCATATAGCAGAAGACTGCCAGCCGGGGATTCCCCCCAACCATTCCTGCAGGGCTCCATCTTACTCATGGTTCTCACTGCCTATCTCACGACACATGCAACTTCCACCACAGGAAGAAGGCACACTGCCATGTGTCACATGAGGAAGAATAGCTGTATCAGAGTCCCCTTCACCATTAATCTGTTCAGCCTCAGTTGCAGGCTTTGCTGCCCATTGCCAAGACCTTGAGATCACTCCTCCTATACGTACTGTTTCTGCCATGCTCTTATTCTGTTGCTGAGTGTGTTGTGTGAGACTTTCCTACAGAGATATGACACAGAGGTCTGCTCACCCCAAGATAGGAACCCAAGGACAAACAAAAGTAATAATTTCACTAGTGTCCATCTTGGTGAACCAGTGAGTCTATTGGGTATAATTAGAAGCGTATGGCTGAGGGGTTACTTGGAAGAGCGAGGATGACTACAGGTCAGCAGCATCATGGGAAAGCCCATCTCAATATAGGTAAAAGCTGTATCCTGAGCACTCTGTGTGGCTCCCAGGCTGCTCCCAAGGACCAAGGGTCCCCTCTCTGGCAGTTGTTTGCCACTTCTAAAAATTGGGGGAGTGGCTTGTTTTCCCAAAGGGGTGAAATAGACTTTACAAGTCTCCTGACTTTAAGCTTCCACACAGGGAGCAATGTTGCAAATCGGAGAGCCTATACATGGTTTTATACAAAATTTATTTTGTATTTTGGGTTTTTTTGAGACAAGGCTTTTCTGTGTAGCCCTGACTGCCCTGGATCTTGTTCAGTAGATCAGATTGGCCAAAAACTCACAGAAATCCACCCACCCCGCCTCTAAGTGCTGAGATTAAAGGTGTGCACCCCTGCCCAGTCTCCTTTATCTGTCTAACCATTGTGGTAGCACCTGTGAAATAGTTTCCACTAGAAAGGCTCACTGGATCAGTAACCACTGTTTTCTTTCTTTTTTTAAAAAAATATTTATTTATTTATTATGTATACAATATTCTGTCTGTGTGTATGTCTGCAGGCCAGAAGAGGGCACCAGACCTCATTACAGATGGTTGTGAGCCACCTTGTGGTTGCTGGGAATTGAACTCAGGACCTTTGGAAGAGCAGGCAATGCTCTTAACCTCTGAGCCATCTCTCCAGCCCCACTGTTTTCTTTCTGAAGGCTAATGGGAGTTGAGAAAGTCCCAGAGTAGTTATAGAACTCATTTTCTTTTGTTGTTGTTGAATGGTTGTATATATTATTTTTTTTTGGCTTTGTTGAGACGTTTCGCTGTACCTTTGGAGCCTGTCCTGGAACTAGCTCTTGTAGACCAGGCTGGCCTCGAACTCACAGAGATCTGCCTGCGAGTGCTGGGATTAAAGGAGTGTGCCACCACTGCCCGGCTGAATGGTTGATTCTTTATATTCATGTGAATTCTATAAAAATACTAAGGTCCCTCATGCCATCAAAATTTAAGTATTGTAGCCAGGCGGTGGTGGTTCACGCCTTTAACCCCAGCACTCTGGAGGCAGAGGCAAACGAATCTCTGTGAGTTCAAGGCCAGCCTGGTCTACAAGAGCTTGTTCCTCGACAGCCTCCAAAGCTACAGAGAAACCTTGTCTTCAAAAATCAAAAAAAAAAAAAAGAAGAAAAAGAAAAAGAAAACAGGGCTGGAAAGATGGCTCATAGTTTAAGAGTACTGACTGCTCTTCCAGAGGTCCTGAGTTTAATCCCCAACAACCACATGGTGGCTCACAACCATCTATAATGAGATCTGGTGCCCTCTTCTGGCCTGCAAGTATACATGCAAGTAGAACACTGTATATGTAATAAATAAATAAATCTTTTTAAAAAATCCAAAAAAATTATCAATATTGCGAGGAGGAATTTCTAAGGACAAGCAGGTGGGAGGCTCTGAGACGGGAAGTGGAAATGCAGTGTAGCCAGAGGACCGGGCAGAGCTGCAGCTCGTCCTGGGCCCTGGCCCACTGGGAGGAGTGCTGCAGGGCGGCTCCTTCCTCATCCCTCACTGCTTGCATTACAACTTCCATCTCATGGAAGAGTGTGGATCCCACAGTGTCGAGTGAACCTTTTGTCAATCAAGTGTGTGCAATGTTTAGGCCTCAGTGAGTGTTGAGGACGTGGCTGTGCACTTCACCCAGGAAGAGTGGGCTTTGCTGAATCCTTCCCAGAAGAGTCTGTACAGAGATGTGATGCTGGAGACCTGCAGGAACCTCGCTGCCATAGGTGAGGATAACATCTTACCTTCACTCTGTAAACTAGGGAGCAAGTGTCTATTGGTGTCGATGCTCTTCTGGAATTTGGACTATTGAAAGGGAAGAATGTGGTGAATAAATCAGGCATTGTTACTATGGACACTGAAGTTAAAAACTAATTTTTTCAGTGATTTCTAATAATTTATCCTTAATTTTCTGGGATTTCCTTTTAGGAAACAGATGGGAAGAAGAAAATGTTGAAGACTCTTATAAAATTCCTGGAAGAAATCTAAGGTAATTTGAATGAAAAGTTGAAACAAAGGTACTTGAAGAAGTTTCAGCATTCCACGAAAATTTAAGAAAACAAAAACAGCTTTGAGTTGTGTCGTTGTTAGGAAAATTATGCCCATATTATGGCACCTAGATGTGTGCTGGGTGTTAGAGCACTGCCCAGTGTTTCTAGAGGGTTTTCTATTGGAAACACTCATAGGAACGTGCATCAGTGAATGCCACAGTTCTAGTTACAGCTCTGTGGGAGCCACAGTATAGAACCAGCAGTTCATTTAGTTTCACATGATTCAAATGTGTCAGAAAGCACACATTTTACCTGATTTTGGGAGCAGTATATGACATAAACCTAACAAGGAGTCTCTCGCTAACATACTTGTTCTTTTTCAGAAGTTCTGTGTTAGAGATCTCCCATGAGAAAACAGAAAATGGTCAGAATGAAGAAACCGTGATGTGGATAGCAAATCTTCATGCAAACATGGCAGTTCGTCTTGGACTAACACTATGTGAATCTGGTGTCAGTGGAAAGGTTTCCATGTGTCCTTCACCCTCTAGTAGGCATGCCATATCTCCCCCTCATTATAAGCCACGTGATCACGAGGAATGTGGAGCCAAGCAATATAGCTTGACCTCTCTCAGCAGCTCTCAAAGGTGTGCAGGAGCTCACACTGGGAACGGGCCGTGTGAATGTGAGACATGTTTAAACGCTTTTTGTTTTCCAAATTCATTAGGAACACATCCAGAGGCTTACACTGGAAAAACACCCTATAAATACAAGGAATGTGGAAAGGCCTCTGTTTATACACACAGAAGAACCCACACTTTGGCCAAGCTTTATGAATGTAACATATGTGGTAAAGCCCTTAGTTCTTCTACTTCCCTTCAAAGACATGAAATAATTCACACTGAAAGGCTCTATGAATGCACATATTGTGGTAAAGCCTTTAGATATCCCAAATATCTTCGATTACATGAAAGAATTCATACTGGAGAGAAACCCTATGAGTGTAAACAATGTGGTAAAGCCTTTAGATTTCCTGGTGCCTTGCCTCTACATGAAAAAATTCATACTGGAGAGAAACCCTATGAGTGTAAACAATGTGGTAAAGCCTTTAGATTTCCTGGTTCTTTGCCATTACATGAAAAAATTCATACTGGGGAAAAGCCTTATGAATGTAAACAGTGTGGGAAAGCTTTTAGGCGTCACTATCATCTTCAGTTACATGAAAAAATTCATACTGGAGAAAAACCTTATGAATGTAAGCAGTGTGGGAAAGCCTTCAGACGGCACAGTCATCTTCAGAGACATGAACGAATTCATGCTGGAGAGAAACCCTATGAATGTAAATAACATGCCAAAGCCTTTACATTTCACAGTTATTTTCTGTCACATGAAAGATTTCATACGGGAGAAAAGAAATACTGTTGGTGTAAACAGTGCTGGAAAATTTTAGGTTTCATGGTTTTTACAATGACATGGGATCGGTCATGTACTATGCAGACCCTATGAGGTAAACTCTAGTAAAGCCTCCAGATAGCCATCTTCAGTTTCGTAAAGAATATACTGGAGAAAGCTGTGCCACTGTGAACATTGTGCTGAAGCTGTTAGATGCTTTTCTTGACAGTTTCAGAAAAAACTCATTCTGGAAGGAGATCCTCTGGATGTAAATAGTATGGCCAGAAGGTCACAAATCAGTGTTCTTCAGACATAACCTGTATGTGAGAAAAACTCTATTAATGTAAAATATGTACATATGTAAACCCTTTGTATAAAACAGATCCCTTCAATTCTTTCATACGCATTAAAACCTCTAAGAATGTGAACAGTGTGATAAAGGCATCATCTGTCAAAGTTTCAGAGACAGTGTTGTGTGGGGTGATGTGAAAAAATATTTACTTACCTGAGATTACCAAAAAAAATGATTCTTCTGAAGCCCAACTTGATGAGCCAGTGATTTTATAGGGGTTTATTTACCTCAGATTACCAAAAAAATGATTCTTCTGAAGCCCAACTTGATGAGCCAGTGATTTTATAGGGGTTACTTATAGGACCATGGACAACTCTCAACCAGATACAGCACCAAACCACCCATGCCACCTTGACTGTTGACTACCATCTTGTAAACCTACACAATCTAAAGGCAACTGGACTGGTCAGAGCCCACTCCTCATAACCCTGCGGACACCCTCTGTGAGTGTTTTCAGCTTTAGCTTTGGGACTTACAAACTCACTTGTTACTCCCTGAACCTGATGTGTCCTGTTTCCCCCTAGGAGAGTGTTTCAATTCAGAGGATACAGCTGGACAGCAAGCCGTCTCTTCCAGGGACTCTTGTTTTATTATTGATATTTATTGAGCTCTACATTTTTCTCTGCTTCCCTCCCTGCCTCTCCCCTCCACCTTCAATCCTCCCCCAAGGTCCCCATGCTCCCAATTTACTCAGGATATCTTGTCTTTTCCTACTTCCCATGTAGATTAGATCTATGTAAGTCTCTCTTAGTGTCCTCATTGTTTAAGTTTTCTGGGATTGTGGTTTGTAGGCTGGCTTTCTTTGCTTTATGTTTAAAAACCACCTATGAGTGAGTACATATGATAATTGTCTTTCTGGGTCTGGGTTACCTCACTCAAAATAATGTTTTCTAGCTCCATCCATTTTCCTGCAAAATTCAAGCTGTTGTTATTTTTTTCTGCTGTGTAGTACTCCATTGTGTAAATGTACCACATTTTGCTTATCCATTCTTTGGTTGAGGGGCATTTAAATTGTTTCCAGGTTCTGGCTTTGACAAATAATGCTGCCATGAACATAGTTGAGCACATGTCCTTGTGGCATGATTGAGCATCCTTTGTATATATACCCAAAAGTGGTATTACTGGGTCTTGAAGAAGGTTGTTTCCTAATTTTCTGAGAAATCACCATACTGATATCCAAAGGGGCTGTGCCAATTTGCACTCCCACCAGCAATGGAGGAGTTTTTCCTTTTCCCCACAACCTCTCCAGCATAAGTTGTCATCAGTGTTTCTGATCTTGGTCATTCTTACAGGTGTAAGATGGAATCTCAGAGTTGTTTTGATTTTCATTTCTCTGATGATTAAGGATGTTGAACATTTCCTTAAGTGTGTTTCAGCCATTTTAGATTCCTCTGTTGAGAGTTCTCTGTTTAGGTCTGTACTCCATTTTTTTTTATTGGATTCTTTTGGTGTCCAATTTCTTGAGTTCTTTGTATGTTTTGGAGATCAGACCTCTGTCTGATGTGGGGTTAGCCATTCTGTAGGCTGTCGTTTTGTCTTTTTGACTGTGTCCTTTGCTTTACAGAAGCTTTTCAGTTTCAGGAGGTTCCATTTATTAATTGTTTCTCTCAGTGTCTGTGCTGCTGGAGTTATATTTAGGAAGTGGTATCCTGTGCCAATGCATTCAAGTGTACTTTCCACTTTCTCTTCTATAAGGTTCATTGTGGCTGGCTTTATGTTGAGGTCTTTGATCCATTTGGACTTGAGTTTTGTGCATGGTGATAGACATGTATCTATTTTCATTCTTCTACATGTTGATATCCAGTTATGCCAGCACCACTTGTTAAATATGCTTTCTTTTTTCCATTTGGTATTTTTTGCTTCCTTGTTAAAAATCAGGTGTTTGAAGATGTGTGGATTGATATCTGGGTCTTCTATTCAGTTCCATTGGTCCTCCTGTCTGTTCTCATGCCAATACCAGGCTGTTCTCAGTACTATAGCTCTGTATTAGAGTTTGAAGTCAGGGATTGTGATGCCTCCAGAAGTTCTTTTATTGCCCAAGATTGTTTTGGCTATCCTGGGTTTTTTGCTTTTCCAAATGAAGTTGAGTATCGTTCTTTCGAGGTCTGTGAAGAATTTTGCTGGGATTTTGATGGGCATTGTGTTGAATCTGTACATTCTCTTGAAGTTATTTTTTAGGTCATTTTCTTCTTCATCTATATTTGACTGTTCAGGTCTTACTGTTGTAGGGTCTTTAGGTTTTACTGGTGTTGTGTTGCTCTTTGCTGTGTTGCGTGTGATCTTACCTTTTCTACTCATCTTTTCCTCTAATAGGTGTGGTTGGGGCTGTCTGAGATTCTGTTGAATAATCTTCTAGGTGCCAGTCAATCCAAAGCTCAGATTCCTCGTGGTACAGTCAGTGTCACAGTTCTAGTTACCCTGTTGGGTACTCCTGTTCCTGGAGATAGCTTGGCGCTCCTGTGCTTTGCTCTGCTCCTTGGAGTTTGCTGTCTCAGGCTTACTTTGGACTAGGTTGCTGGCTTTGCCCTATTTCTATACATCCTGGTCTGGATCCCCTCCTGCAGAAGTCCTTGGCTTGAAGTGGGACCTGGAAAGGTTTCTGGCTCCAGTCTACTGCCTTGGAGTTCCCAGGTTTGGGTGTGCCCAGACCCGCAGAGGACCTGCTTACTCTCTCAGAGGTCCCAGGCTTTGCTCCACTCCCTTGGAGTTTGCTGTCTCAGGCCTGCTCTAGCCTAGGTTGTTGGCTCAGATCTGTTTCTGTAAATGTCCCTGGTCTGATTCTGTTCCTGCAAAAGTCCCTGGCTTGGACTTGGTCCTGTAAAGGACTCTGGCTCTGGTCCCGGTACTTGATCTGCTCTGCTCCCATAGAGCTTGCTTTCTCAGGCCCACTGTGTCTTAGGTAAGTGGTTCAGTCCCATTACTGTGGAATTTGTTGCCTCAGGCCTGCTCCAGCCCACAGTGGAGTTTGTTGCCTTAGGCCTACTTTGGCCTAGGTTACCAACTTTTACCTGGTTCTTTAAATCCTGGTCTGGATCCACTCCTGCAGAAGTCCCTGGCTTGGAGTTGGTCCTGCAAATGTCTGTGGCTCCCGTCTACTTTCTTGGAGGTCCCAGGCTCAGTTGCACCTAGACCCAACAGAGGACTTGCTTACTCCCTCAGATGGTCCCAGACTCATGCTCAGACCCACAGACATTTCTGGTTCCTGCCTATTTCCTTTGATGTCCCAGACTAATGCCCAGACTCACAGAGGTCCTGGCTCAGACCTACTCCCTCTGAGGTTCCAGACTCATGGCCTGGACCTGCAGAGATCTCTGGTTCCTGCCTACTCCCTCGGAGGTCCCAGATTCATGCCCAGTCCTTCAGAGGTCCTGGCTTAGGCCTAGTTCCACGGAAGTCCTAGACTCCCACCCAGACCCACAAGGTTCCTGGCTTAGGTCTACTCCCTTGAAGGTCCCAGATTCACATCCAGACCCTCAGTGGTCTCTGGCTCTGGCTCACTCACTCAGCGGTTGCTCCCCTGTACCTGTTCCTGTGGAGTTTGCTGTCTCAGGTCTGCTCTGGCCCAGGTCGCTGGCTCAGTCCTGATCTGCCAATGTCCTTGGATGTGATCCTCTAGTGACTCTTAAGTTTTCTTAAAAATTACTTTTTGAACTTTGGAGGGGGTGGTGTTGATGTCAGAACCTTCACTGGTCGTTACGAGTCTCTGAGGTACACCATCATTGTAAAAGAAAGTTTGCTCCCAGGATGAGTTGCAAATAAAAATAACAATTGTCCATGTGCATAGCCATGGATGTTTAGCAGGCAGTTTGTCAGACATGTAACTTATAGCCATTAAAACAGTAGCAATTACTTTGCAGCTGGGGCCTATAATGTCTCGAGCTTTAGGACTTTGTCCTGGCTTATGATACCAGACATGAATTTTCTCCTGTAGATTTGCATCAGATCCAGTGGTAAAGCTTATTGTTGTACCTGTGGTAGTCATGCCATTATTGCTTCAGCAAGCACAGCCTGCCTAGCTTTTTGGTACCATAGCCCACAAGGTCTACAGCTGAGCAACGCTGTTAGTGAAAATTCTCTGTAGACTGCATGACACTTGTCACTATGAAAGGTAGCCAGTATGGAGGAAACTTGGCTCAGTTCCATGCTTTGTTTTCATGTCCTGCTACCAAAGTGCTTGTTATCTTCAGCATTGGAGTCTTATCCTCTATTTCTGGCATCTAAGCAAGAGCAATTGCAATATGGTTTGTGGGTCCTTAGGATCCTCCTTGGCCAACAGTTCATAGTGAGTAGCCTACCCTTGACAGTGGGATATTCACTTAACACCTTTATGGGCTTTGTGTCAATAGGGTGCGTCCTGTATAACTAAAGAACTGTTGTTTTTACTATCCCATTAAAAAAAAAATTCACCTGGGTTTGGAGAGATGGCTCAGAGGTTAAGAACACTAGAAGCTCTTCCAAGGTTTCTGAGTTTAATTCCCAGCAACCACATGGTGGCTCACAACCACTTATAATGAAATCTGGTGCCTCTTCTATCATGCAGGCATATATGAAGGTAGAACACTGTATACATAATAAATTTTAAAAAGAAATTAATCTAGTCGCAGTATCTTTTCAAGGTAGATGAAAATACCATTGTACACGGTTATCTATAGTCCAGGTCTGTGCCTTGGTGTTTATGAAATTATTACCTCATTCACTGTCAATTTTCTGTGGGTTCTTAAACACTGAGTTGGGCGAAACCGTTGATGGTACCTTCCTTTGATCCCTGCTTGCATGGAAATTCTGGTAAGATGCCCAGGACAGCTTCTACTCAGGCGAGGGCATATTTTCAAGCCCCCACCCACAGGCTTAGGCCCTTTGTGGTGTGTCATTCCCTCATGGGATAAACTGGTTCATGTGCATCAGGCGATGGTGGCGCATGCCTTTAATCCCAGCACTCGGGAGGCAGAGGCAGGCAGATCTCTGTGAGTTCGAGACCAGCCTGGTCTACCAAGCTAGTTCCAGGACAGGCTCCAAACCACAGAGAAACCCTGTCTCGAAAAACCAAAAAAAAAA